CTCTTTTTGCAGGTGCCAAACCAGCTGCTTCCGTTGATCCTTGGGCAGCACCAGCAGGATCCACAGCTCAGCCTCTGTCCAAAAATGTTGACCCCTGGGCTCCTGCTCAGTCGTCATCTACTGCAGCAAAACCCTCCGTGGATCCTTGGGGACCAGCACCTGCAAACAAACCCATCTCTACTTCTGGTGAGAGACTGTCTCATTCCATATCCACAATATCTGAGCAATGCAGGGTGAAATGGGAGTGATTTTTACAGTGGTTGTGCAGAAGCAGCTCTGTGTTGATTAATTGCAGTGCTGCATTGTGAAGTACGAGTTGTACGTGAGCAAAAAAACTTGAGGTACCGTTATTTTAAGTTAGAGCTCTGAGTTAATTTTGCTGCTTTCTTCCAGCTGTCTCTCTCAATCCTTTATTTTTACATTCAGATGTGTGCAGTGTATTTGTGACTGTGCTGCTGCCATCAGGTTTTTAAGTGGATTTTGTCTTCAATTAGACAAAAACTTAATTTCCGGCGTGAATGTTGTTATAATTTTACCTTTCATCATCATGATAAATATTGTGCAGGTGGATGTGTCTGCAGATGTAGGGTGACAGGTTGAGCACTTCAGTGCTTTAAGTAGTTTTTGGAGGTAGAAATGAAGGTTTTTCTACTTTAGATTGAGGGTGTCAAATTTTTCCCTAAAACTTTGTGCAACAAGATGCTTGAGGTGGTCATGTAACTCTGTAACTAATGCAACTTTCATGAACCTTACTAATACCTTATATTTTTGTGGGTACCATGGCTATTCTGATTGCATTGTCCTTTGGTCATTCATCTCAGCACATAATAAACAAAGGACTCGCAAATTGAATGCTGCAGGAATGGTCTGATCCATTTTTCTGTAGGCAAAGGGCAGTAACTGGATCGTTACTGGAATGGTTCCTGAACTGTGGTGGTCTTTGTTCTTCACAGAAAGTGCTGCTATTGTACAGAGTCTTTACTTTATATTCTTTGGGTCTTGTGGGTGGGTTTTTTTTTTTTGGCATACTCTTTATGGAGTTAAGTTTGTGTCTTCATTTGCTTGAAATGTGTTGGCAGTTAATGCTAAATTAAGAAAAACATTACAGCAAATACTGAAAAGCAAACTTCAAAGCTTTTCAGTAGTGCTATTACTCTTAGTTTAGGTGTGACTTCTTCCCTTTTGAGGTAAGGGTGTGTTTGCATTAGGGAAATGTTATATTTTTATTTGTTGCAAAGTACAACGGAACAGTTGTAGCTCAACCAGGCCTAACCAACTCTACGTGGAGTAGACGACATTCCTGCAATCCCATTGCATTGCTACCTGCTTTAAGTTAGGGAACATAAGTGAAATTATTAGTCGAGTTTATGGCCGTGTTGCATTTGTCTTTGCAAGTGTATTCAGAAGTGATGTTTTTCTTGAAGGCTGATGAGCACACGTGGTGGAGTCTAGCCTGTGAAATTGGTGCTGCTGTCTTCTTCCAAACCAATACACGCTGGCCTGGGCCTCCCTGGGCTGCAGACACCTAATAAAACCCCAGCCAGCTGAGGGGTGTCCTATACTGTGCTTTAAGAGCACATCACTCCCAATCAGTCAGCTCACCCTGCAGGAAAGGTCTCTTCTCTCACATTGCCCTTCTCCTTTATCCTGGATGAAAGTAGGAGCCCTCCAGCTGCTCCTCACAGCCAACCCAGCTCCCACCGAGTGGTTTCACAGGGATGTGAACGGGTCAGAAATCCCTTTCGGTAGGGTCAGGTGTGCAATGCAACTGAAGATCTATTAACAACAGAGCTCTCTTGTTGTTTTGAACAGGAAGTACATCTTTTGACCTCTTCAGTAATTTGAATGGTACAGTTAAAGATGATTTTTCTGAATTTGACACACTTCGAACTTCCAAAAAGCCAGGTATGAATTGAGTTCTTAGAAAATGGACAGTTTGGCTGATAGTCTCAGCACCAGATGTATCTGTTCTTATATTTCCTTTTTTTTTTTTTTTTTTTTAAAAAAAAAAGGCCTTTCACAAAGGCAAAGATCAAAGCTGCTGATAATGCAGCAGTATAAGCTTGTTGTTAACGTTTTGGCCTGTGCATGAACTCATGGGGAGCTGGCCTCTTTTGTATTGTAAGCCAATGCTTTCACTCAGTAACCTCTGTGCTGCATTGACCCAGAAATTTGCTTGACTTCTAAATTTATCTCATCTAGCATGTGTGTGGAGTATGGCTCATGCTCAGACAGTTGAACAGAACAATGTTGACTGAATTTCTGAAACCCTTAAATTCTAGCATGATAACAACAGTGGAAAAATGAGAAAATTATATGAAAGTTTAGATTTCTACTTGGTCAAAATAAGATAAGCTGTTAGATCTTAAAACGTAAGCACTTTGATACTAGATACTGTCTACTTTAAGCTAGGTTCTACCTGGAATATTGATGGCAAATCCAAACCTGAGCCAGGCTTCTTCAACACACAAGAAAAACTCTGTTGGAATCTATCTGGGAGAGGCATAACAGCCATCTAGAGCGAGGACAGAAGCCCAGGGCTTTTGAATATCTTTTCTGTGGAAACAGTGTAATTTCTTGCAGCGCAGTTGGAAGAATATCCATCAGGCAGGTCAGGTAGAGGCTTCTGTGGAGCACTGCAGCTGTAATTCTAGAGTCCTTGTGGTCTTCCAGGAAACACTTTTCTTGCATGCTGGGGGTGTAACATGTACTTGAGATGCTTAAATAACACTTATAAAAACATTAGACTTCAAAATATTTCCTTTGCCAGGGACTTCAGGGTTTTCTTTGTTTGATTATGTAGATTGAGAAGTTGTGTTTTTCTTCTTGTGTTGTTACAGCTGACTCGGGGTCCACTCTGCCATCCCAGCATAGCGGTACCACCAGTCCTGATCTCTTTGATTCCCAACACTCCAGCATGACATCAGGCAAACAAAGCGCAGCCCGCAAAACCCCCGAGTCTTTCCTGGGCCCCAATGCTGCTTTGGTGAACCTGGATTCGCTGGTGTCTAAGCCACCACAACCTGTTACTTCACTGAATCCATTCTTGGCACCAGGTCTGTTCCTATTCATTCTGTTTATGCTTTCCCTTCCTATAGGGAAATTTTGCATAACTCAGGCTCATGTGGTTTAACATCAGTCATTTTTGGCATGTTTCTCTTGATTACTTCAGCCTGCACATCATGCCTGAGAGCAGAAGGGTGAGGCAGCAGCGTTTCTGGGTGTGCTGCTGGACCCTAAAAGCCAGAGTTCTGCTCTGGCATCTGCTGGGTTAGCTTAATTTCAAGCTATTTCTTTCCCCTTACCTTTTGCACTGATTCTACCAGAATCATCTGGGTTAGAAAAGAGCTTTTGGTTATAAAAAATAGTTGAACTAAAGCTGACATTGTCAGAACAGGTAAGGTGTGAGCATGTGCCAGCTGAGACACTCCAGCCCTTGGGAGGGTAGTAGGTGCCTGTGGCAAGCAGGTCAGCAATAGCCCTTTTAATTGTGCTGCCCTTTTAATTAAATCAACCTCTGTGACTGCAGCCCGAGGTTGCAGATAGCAAACTGGTGTATGTTTTATTAGGCTGTTGATTAGGCTCTCGTTAGTGCGATAAAAAAAAAAAATTTTTTTTTTCCCCCCTTCCCAGGGGGGGAAAAAAAAAAAAAAAAGATGGTTTATTAAACTCAGTAGATAGAAAACAAAAAGAAAAAAAACCCAACAAACAACTCTGCCAAAACAGTAATTCTGAGCAGCATTGGCAGTGTTTAGCAACAGGAAGTCTGTGTATCTGCCATTACTGGTTACTAGGAAAAGTTTTTAAGGGGTCACTGGGCCATCCACATAACTCTATACATATGCGGGAAAAGGAATTTGTAGTTTTGGCAGCTGCCCAGACAACCCAAACGCTGGGAAAGTTATTCTCTGCTTTTTCTAGCACTGCTGTAATTCGGAAACAACTTGTTTACTTTATGAATTCTTGTCAAAACTCAGTGCCAAAACCATGCACAGCTTCTAAATGGAACTGACTCACTGAGATCTAGAGGCAAAGGCCCAGGGATACTGCAGGCAGAGTGCACTGAAGGAGAACTGCGTGCGATCTGTTCTCTTCTGTAATGCTAATTTTAAGTAGCATTGAAAAATTACTGAGCTGGACACCATGGCTAGACACATTTCCACGTTATCAAATTTGAAACCTGTTTATCCGGTGACTGTAAGTGGAAAGTGTTGGTCAGCAGGGATTATTTTGTGCTGTTTTGTGAGGAGGAATGGCCTGTGTTTGCAGCAGTGCAGCCCCAGGGAGCTGAGCGGCCTCTGTGCAGGTTTCTCCCGAGTTTTGGGGTGGGGAAGACGACACAGGACATGCTTGCTTTGAATGTAGAGACTCTCCAAACGCCCGTGCTTTATGGAGATGCCATCCTCTTGCCTCTTCCCATTTTTTCCCCTCAAAACTAGGTGCAGCTACCGCACCAGCTCCAATCAACCCCTTCCAAGTGAATCAGCCGCAGCCGCTCACTCTGAACCAGATGAGAGCGAGTCCCGTGATGGGAACCAGTCCCTCCTTCAGCGCCGTGCCACCGATCAGCATGGAGCCAATACCTCTGTCTTCCATGGCCCCCGTGCCCGTGGGGATGGCACCGATCCCTCCCATGGGCACCGTGGCCTCTCTAACACGAATGGGCCAGGGGCTGAACGTGAGCATTGCAGGATCAATGACCCAACCTCTCCACAGTACGGGAATCCCGCCGGCAGCCTCCCAGTCTACAAATACAACTAACCCTTTTCTCCTATAAAGACCCAATCCAAGGACCTTTCTTTTCCTAGTGTTTCCAGGCTGAAGTCTTTACAGCTAAATGAACGTGGCCTGTGTGGACTGAACGGTGTGTAAGAGACTTGGAAGTAGATTTGCAGTTTACAGTTATGATCTTTGAAGAGTTGTCTCTACTTACCAGTTAATCTAAATCTAGTCTTTGCTACAGATGGTACCTTACTTTGGCTTGTTGAGCATTATGTGAAATGTTCAGACTTTTCACCAAAGTTAGATTCTGCCCATTTTGTTACTTTGTTAATCATTTCAATACACTTTCTAGGGAGAACCTGCCATTTTAAACTCCGTTGGCTATTTTGTAGATGTCAGATGATGTGCTGGATCCTGAAATTACTATTTACCTGCATCTGTCACTTCCTATGCCCATAAGATAGACCTGAGATTCAGAGTGCTAGTGAATGTTTTGCACATAACTACACACAGTTCTAGACTGTTGGTTCACCCATAGTCCTTACTCTTAGGCGAGAACGACTTTGAGGGCCCAGGTGGCTGGTTTTTATGCATTAAACATTGCAACGCAAAATCGCACTGCTTTCCTATCCAAGGTTGACCGAGAAAGCAAGCTTGTCTCAAAAGGAGGAGAAAAAAAAAAATAACAGACAAAAAAAACCCAAGAACATTCTCAAGTTGTCGAGTATAACGTGTGCTGTTGTATGCGGTGTTGAATTTGTACACTACTCTCTAAGGACTCCTGAGGAACTCTGTGGGTGGCATGCTGCACTCGTGCTGCGTGAGTGTCCTGCTCTGTGCTTGTCCAGTACCAGCTTCGTTGGGAACTTATCATGTGTATCTTGGTTTTATTTGACTTACCATGCGAGTGGAAAGAGGAGAAAAACAACAGAAATACAGCAGGACAACTTTGGATTCAGTTTCACCAGGGCAAGCTTTAAAAACTAATTCAGGCTTAACCTTGCTATATGCAGTTACTCTTGTATACTTTTGCACATATTTTGTTTAGTACAGTTTCATATTTGAGTTTGCAGAGTTACCTAATAGTCTTTTTTTTTTGCTAATTTTTATAATGTGGTTCTTATTTAACTGTCTGGTTTTGATAGATTTATCAAGTCTGGCTGAAAAATTAAGATATTGGCAAATGTCATTTTTATGGTTTTAATGCCCTCTTATTTATGGTTTTAGCTCTTTGTTTCTGTAAAGAGAGTTTAAAAGGGAAGATTAACACTAAAATATTTTACTTTTAAATGAAGTATTCATAATGAAAAATCAAAACAAATTTGCATGACTAATTATTTTTAGATGAATTGAATTTGAACATGACATGATTTAAGACTACATTTAAAAAAAGAGAGAGAAAAAAAACAACACTAAAGTCGCTTTTCCCTTGATTTGTTCCCATTTTCTGATTACCAAAATGGACATTTAGTCTTTATGAAGATCGTGAGAAAGGCTTTTTTTTTTCTTGCCGTTCTTCTTGAAATGCTCAGAATCCTAATGTATAAATACAACTCATTAATTTCATTGACTAATTTTTCTTAATGAAAGGTGCACTCCATATTAATAAACTGGTTCCATTTACAATGATTAATTGTAAGCTGAACTCTACGTGTTAACTTGCATGTCTGGACTCCCCGAGACGGCAGCGGGTTTGTAGGCCCGGATGAGCACGGAGCATGCGGAGAGGGATGTCCCAGTGCTTGGGACTGCCCGGAGGGCATCTGGGGCAACGAGCCCATGCATCTTGCAGGCCTTTCCCTGATTAGCAGGAAAAGAAAAAAGAAAAAAAATGGAAAAAAAAAAAAAAGCTGAAAGAAATTGCCAGAGCTCTGTGTCCTGGTGCGACGATGCTGCGTGGGACCGCGCCAGCCGAGGGAATGTCGGGAAGGAAGGGCTGGCTGGGGCGGAGGGGGCTGGATTTTACCCCGTGGTGGGAAGGGAGGCTGAGAGACTATCAAACCTAGGGTACAATCAGAGATTTTAGCTGCGTAGGTCAGTGTAGCTCTGTTAGTCTGTGGAATGCTAAATGTGTGGATGTTTCTATGCAGATTGTTCGATCCTCTTGTTCTACTATTGGATTTCCAAGCAGGATTCAGAATATTCATCTGCTCTTGTTTTATATAGGAGGAAAAGGAATGGCTGTCCACACCCAGTAGGTCTTTAAAAAAAGGAAAAAAGAAAGAGAACAAAACCCATTCATGCTGCCTTTCAGAGTAAGGAGAAATACTTTGCTTTTTCTGTTGTTGTTGAAGTTATTGAAAAGTGTAGACCAGGAAGGGTGTGATTCTTGCAGATGAGGGGGGAAAAAAAAGTGCTTTCCAGTTGATCTGTGGCAAGATTTATCCTTCATTATTTCTCCAATTTAATATTTTGCAGCAGTGGAGTTGAGGTCATTGGTTTTTCCCTTAGTCCATCGCCCGAGTGCATTGGCAATGGTTAGATATGGGGCATTATCTATTCAGCCAAAAGGTTCTGCTCGTGTCTGCTCGCTGAACACACGAGGTAACTGCTTCTGGAGGCAACATGAGGTCGGTAGTGAGTGTTTTAACATTTATAACGTCGTCTACAGCTCGGAGGAATGAGCTGTCATCATGAATTGCTAAAAATACACGTTGGTCCGGTAGGGAGCCCTAGCTTAATGAAACTGCTGGATGGCAAATCGTTGCTTTTACCAAGGCCGCTTCTCCAAGACCTCCGTTACTTTTGCATTTTATATATGTGTGCACGCGTGCGTGTGTATATATATATATATATATATACACATGTGTGAATATATATATATATATATATATAGCACAATAAGCCATGGCAAGACACTCTGAACAGCGATTACCCCAGATCATGGTGCTGCAGAGCATTAGGCCAAGGACTGACCATGCTGAGATTCCCAATCCGGGAGGAAGCAGGTTCCAGAGCTGAATAAGCAGCTGGACCGGGAAAACCCACCTGGTTTCCCGCTGGAAACTCCGTATCCCGAGCGGAGCAGCAGAAACACGGGAAGGGGCTTCCTGCCCCAGCCAGCCGGGGCTCCGGTCGTGTCCGGAGAGGTAAATCCGCGTCGTGGCGATGGAATTCCCGCCACAATATTCCCGCCTCCCTCCCGTGCTCCCGTGGAGGCCGCTCGTGCCCGCGTGTCTCCGGCGTCATTTCTCCACGTGCGTTTCCCTCTTCCCTTTCTTTTCCCACTTGGAAATACTAAAAAGTGCTTTTGATTTTAAAAACGTTAGTAGCCCAAAACAGCCTTACTGGTCAAATTGACCAAAGATGAAAGTGTTATTTTATAAAAATAAAGATATCTTGGCATAATTTTAAACCCAAAAATAAGCTCAGTTATTTATTCAGTTTTATACTATATAGAAACTAAACTACGCTGAGGGGACAGGGAAGGAAAACCATGGTGGCTTGTGGTGTTTACAGTCTTTTTGAAGTCCCATAGCTAAGACAACTGTTCTTATCCATCTTCCCTTTTGCTGTTACAGTTTCTAATGTGTACTGTATGTATTAATATTGCACAAATTGTGGAGAAATATATGGTTTATTTTTCACAGCAGAATCTCACAAGACTCGCTTCCTTTACAAGTGTTACAATTTAAATATTTACCAAACTTGTTTTCATAATACTGGGAGCCGGCTGCTTTTTATGAATTTGTGCTGACTATTGACATTATTTACTGTATAAATAATTTATCATTTGTACTATTGTATCATAATGTCTGTATCTTTGTGTCATTTTTCCCTAGCAGTGTCACAGGCGTGATATTTAATAATGCCATCAGAACAGTGGAAAGACAAGGGGTTTGTAGGTGACTGGTCAGAATTAAAATTGTACTGCTTATTCCAGACGTGTTGCTTTTTCTAGACTCTGCGTAGTGTTTATATCACCTTGAGGAGCTGTTGCTGCCCTTGCTTGATTTAGTTTTGCAGAGAGTCGATGGATTCGATGGAGGTTTGCGCTCGCAAGCCCTGCGTTTTGGGGTAAATCTAATCGTTATTGGGAGTGACGCTTCTTGTACATTGTCCGTGTGATTTCTTCCAAGCATTCATCACTTCTACTGGTGCAGGCCTGCTCTTACTATGAGAAAGGAGGATTTCTTATAGATCACTTAAATCAGAATCAGTTGAGACCTTATTAACTCAATAAAGATGAAGACTTGTTGTGTTGCAGGTGACTGAATTGCTTCTTTAAACCACCTTCATTTTTGAAACAGCTTCTTTGGAAGGATGATGGCCTGCTTTCTCAGCAGAGGCTTCAAAAATTATGTAATGTAATGACAGAAGTTTGGGAAAACCTGGAGCTTAAACATGGTCCTTTGTGGAATAAGGTGTGGGGAAACAGGCCTGCAGTCTGCGCCTCTGCTCACCCCTGATTTGTTTTAACCTCTGTGTTTGGGGCTAGAAGGAAAGGAAAAATAAAACATCTCCTGCCAAAGGTGGCAGCCCAAAGGTGGCTTCTGGCCCCTTGGGTTTTTCCAGCTTTCTTCCCTGCTTTCCGCTCCTGGGCGGGATGGATCCTCCGTGCATCCCTGTTTGTTCTTCCTTGGGCCGTTTTCCCTCCCCTGGGGTCAGTTCTTCCCGGTTCTGCTCCACCTCTTGGAAGGGCAGGGGGGAGTTGAAGCCACTTGTGCCGGGAGAGAGGTGGGAAGGGCTGGGAGCAGAAACCATCGTGGTGATGTTTTCCCCCTGAAACAGCCTCAATTCCATGGATTTCAGCAGAGCCGTCGGAGGGAGCTGGGAGCTCCCCGTGAGGCCGGGCTCCAGCTGGAGCCTCCTCCGGCCATGGGCCGGTTGATTCCTCCCTGTCCTGCTTTCCTCTTTGCCAAAGCAGGGTGTTTTCTAACCCTTTTGCAGAGGAAAAGGGCTTACCCGGATAGAGGTATCCAGAGGCTCGTCCCCATCCGTGCCGCTGCTTCCCGGGAATGGCCGTTGGGCCCGTGCCCCCCCGCCCGCCCCGGCTTTGAGCAGGAGCCGCTCTGATCCGCGGCCCTTGGGGACCTGCAGGGCCCTGGTCTGCCCTGCACAACCCTTGGGCTAAAACCCTCCGTGCCCTGGAGTCCCCTGGCACCAGCCTGAGGTCCCCTCTTCATCCCGGGCGCTGAGCTCGGACACGGGCGTCAGCATCGTGAGCACCCGTGTTTGTGTTGGAGCCCGGCAATATACATATATATATATATTTGTATACATATATGCACACATGGTGAAGAGCTGGTGTTGGACGTGGTGGTGACAGTCCTGTCTCCTGATGCTCCGCTGTCGCTCAAGCTGTAATTGCCAAAGACTCGGGGTTTCAGTGAACACAAATTCCCCATCCCGCTCCCTTCGGTGTGTTACAAATCCCTGTCCGTTCCCCATTAGGGTGGTTAATTGGCAGCAGGTAGGTGATGAGCGGCAGATCGGCCGTCTACCGGGTTTATGCAAAGGAGAAGCCGGCGAAAAATGGGGATAAATCGCGAGCGGATGGAGGATTGGGAAGGGTGTGGATGGGGCGATGGGAGCAGCGCTTCCCAGCGGGATTTTGGGAGCAGTTCCCGAGCAAAGAGGTGCCGTGGGGGGAGCGTTGCCAGTGCCCTGGCGTCTCCCAGCCGTGCGGGACAGCGCGTCGTTTCCAGCCGGATAAACCTCAAGGGTCTCTGGAGGGAAAGCCTGACCCGGAGCGATCGTCCCCTTTCCCTCATGCTCCTCGTGCTTGGAGATGCTGAGGAAAAGCCCTCCTTTCCCCAACAGCTTCTGGACGTGGATAGGGCCAGGAGATGGTGCAAAACTTAATCAGAAGCAAGTGAGACAAGTTCATTAGGGAATTGGTCACTCGCAAGTGTTAGCTGTGGCCTCATGCATTGAAATGGGTGGAAAAGGCGCTGTTAAAATGCAAAAATCCTGCTGAGGATCCCGTGGACATGGGCCCAGCCCTGGGGGGGGCCGCGGGCAGAGACGGAGCAATATTCCGTAAGGTGAATTTGGGCACTGCAGTGTCTTGGCCTGAATAGAGATATAGAAATAGAAGCCCACGGTGCTTGGAGGCTGCTGCGAATCTTCCCTGGCATCGGGGAGGGCTGGAATTGCCCCCGTGGGCCGCAGACCCGCAGGTCCGAGCGCAGCCACCGTGCGTGGGGGCTCCGGCCTGTTTTCGGTGCCCGCAGGAGGGTTTCCAGCAGGATTTGTGCTCCAGGGGCTCCCGGGGCCTGGAAAATCGGCATCCTGCGTCTCACAGCCCTGTGTCCTTGCACTCAGCAGCGTCTGTTAAACGGCAGCCAGTGGGAGGCTGCACTTGGGGGGGTCCCGTGCAGGCTGGCAGCAGCTGTGATGTTTTGTATATATATGTGTGTGTGTGCGTATGTGTATATATAAATACATATATACATGTACAATCCAAATTCAGCCGCCTCCCCTGCCTGTTTTGGCTCTGGAGGTTCCGCTCGCCCGGGTTTGTGTCCGAGGGCGACTCTCCAGCAAGGGGGAAGCCCCGGGGGGCTCCAGGACTGGACTCGCAGGAGGCGCCCGGGCGCTGTCGAGGGCACGAGGCTCCTCTGGAGCCCTGGGTGAAACAGGACGACCTGGGCTTTGCCGTTTGCATCTCCGGAGGTGGCCGCAGGGCTGGGAAGGAGCAGGTGGCCGGCACCGGCACCACGTTTGATCTTCCCATGCAGGAACCAGCAGTCCTTGTCTGTCCTGTGCACAGCTTTAGTATTTAGTTGCTATTGGCAAATTCTAAAAAATCTTTCTGCAGGCTGGAAGCTGCCACGAGAGGGCAGGAGCTGCTGCTGCTGCTTCTGGGTTTGGTGGAAAGGGCCGTGTGTCCAGGAGGGTTTGGCCCCCAAGGCTGTTCCCAGCCTTGTGCCCTGTCCCCAGGGCAGCTCCCGGTGCCGTCGCGGGGCTCATCCAGGTGCTTCTTGATGCCAGGCAGGATCCACGGCCGCTGGCGCCGGCGGAGCCAAGGAACATGTTTGTGTGATAGTAGATTTTAATGTTTGTGCCTGTAAGTTTCAAGTATTTTGAACACAGATATTTATCCGGCTACTGTAGCTAACTGCTTCCCAAATACTTTAAAAAAAGGAAACAAAATCCTGCACATCTGCTCTCAGCCAACAGGAAATACCTACAGATCTGGATTCGAGCGAGACTCAGTTAAGAGATTACAACAGTTGCCAAAACAACTGGGGCAGGAGCTTACTGGAAGCGTAAAACCAAGAGAAACATAATAGGAAAAAGCAAAAGACAAAACATCAGCTGTAATCACGTTTGGAAAAGTACTTGTAAATAGTGCAGAAGATGCTAATGCTCAGAGCAAAACTCCAATATTCATGTTATCTTTTAATAAATGCTCTTTACAAGAGCAAGCTCTGGTTATACTGTTGAGTCTGCAGTAATAATTAGACCAACTGGGGTGTTTTATTTGATCTACATCCTGAAAGCTGCACATTTCAACCTTGTGTATTGCTGCTCGGGCCCTTATTTTTGCAGTTTCAGTGTCGTGGCAGCTCCTTGCTAGGGTGGTATCATGTTAAATCCTTCTCCCAGTCACCTCTGGGTATCTGCTGTCAAAACACACAAGATTACATGCCCACAGATTTGTATCAAAGTGACTAAGTGATTAGTCATTTTTTTTGTGTGTATTTCCTTCTCTTTCTACCTGTAAGAAGAGCAGATCTTGTACAGTCTAAGACATCTATTCTGTCAGAAACTATAAATAAAGACCTTAGCAGCAGAAAGACAAAAACATAAATATTTAGACACCTGCTTTTATTCTGCCTAAAAGAGCAGTGATTTAGAAGAGGGTTCAGTGAAAGGCATGGTAGGACAGCAGAAGAGAAGCTATTTAGACTGAGGCTCAGTTTTGTCCCCTCTGTCACGCTGCAGCCACCTGAAAACAGCACCTTAGCTTGGGAGAGTTGGTCACACACCAGTAACAAACATTATTCAGCTCCCTCTCTAAGGTTCCTTCTGTAAGGTGTATTTTTAGCCAGTACCTGCACTTAAAATGTGATTTGTTTCCTCAGAAGTTAAAGGCTGCTGCAAGGATATCCATGCTCTCCGTAACTCCTCCATAATAAACTGTTCTCCTGTTCTTTCCCTTGGAGCTTTATTCTGAAAGAACTCTGGAAATGAAGAGTCATCATCTTGTCCGAAATGCAAAAGCTCAGGTTGCTTCACTGAAAAAACTGCAAGAATTTGTTTCTGCAGCGCATGAACTGTTTTAGTTAATTGCACAACCTCTGAAGGACTGTCTGGGATTACCCTGCAACGCGGCTGCTGCTTTTCCAGGGAAGTTCACGGCCCAGAAAAGCACATTTGTGTTTCACTGCACCCCTTCCACGATCCCTCGTTTTTGGAAAGGGGGAGCATTTCCATTTCTAAGTGCTACCAGAAGAAAAACTTTAGTACACAGCACGGGGTTTGCAGTGATGTTTTCAATGCAGGAAAAGGATTACGAAGATAGAGTTTCCTTTTTTTTTTAATATAAAGAGTGTACAAAAGGCTGCTAGAAAAATCTTTTATATAAAAAAATGATATTTTTATATTAGTGTTTTTGTGTAACTTTAGACTCTTATCCAACCTAGCTATTTTTCAGCCTGTATATGCATACTGAAAGGAATACACTTAGGAAATTATTCCAAAGCCACCTGGACTTGTGCCCATGTCTCCCGTGACGTTTCAGCTTTGTCACATATTTGTTTCCTTTTTCCAAAAACCTCCCGACTTGCCTATTTTCTGTGCGAGTCTTTGCACATCCTACTCCTGCATTTAATAATTATGAATCCCTTCCGTGACAGACACCAGAGAATGGTTCTCCATGTCACTTGGGGTGACCTCGTAGCCCAGCTTCGTCATATCTTTGGTCACTACATTGAAGGAGATGGTCACAAAGCCTTGAGATCGCACTCTCGTCACTAGGAGAAAGAGAGGAGACAAATCCATCAGTAGCACTGGTTAAGAGAGGCTTGGGAATGGCTGCTGGATTCCTCAGGATATCTTGGCTGAGTCTGTCCTCAGTGGGAACAACCGATCCCTCTTTCCCAGAGCGGGAAGGGGTGGCTGGATGCGGCAGCTCCCCAGGACCCACCTTCTCTGCCCTCTCCCTGCGCCACCACTCGCGGGTCGGTGAATTCTGGACGCCTCCCCGTGAACCAGCTTGAAGAAGAAAACAGAAAACAAGTAAGTTATGGGATATACTCACTTGTGGCTAGTTTTGACATGCAAAATTAATAATTTGTATTTAAAAAAAAAAAACACAGGGACTGCCAGCCTTTTTTAACATCACAGTTTTGAAGACTGATTAACTTTGTGGCTTCTCAGCTTTGACCAAGGACAAGTTTTATCTCTCCAAGGAAAAGAATGAAACTGGTTTTATATACGTTGTGTTAGATTCAAATTATTTCTGGGCTAGACAGAATCTGTCTATGGCAAAGCAGTTTCAGAAACAGTCTGATTCCACTCTCAGTTATCCAGAGGGACAGAGAGGCTTGGATACTTTGAAGTAATCAAAGATGTTTCACCTGTAAAACTCAAAAGTACCTGTTTATGATAAAAAATGTATATACATGTGCACAAATGAGTAGCTGGAGATACTATTTGTTTTTTTAAATCCTTCTCTGTGAGTAAGTCTAAATCTTTGGTTATTACCTTGTGAACCTCTGCAGCCTAGACGTAGACTCTGGAACAAACATCGGAAGGGTTCTTATATGCCTAAAACAAACATGAAAGGCAGAGAAATTAAGACATGAAGCACCCACCACTGTGTAAACTTACCAGGAGACTTCTGTTTAATAAAAATGCCTGAATTTGGGCCGCAGGGTGTCCTCACCTGCCCGGCTCGATGGGCACGTGCACGGCCCCGTAGCCCCTCACCACGTCGTTCCCGAACACGTCGGGCCCGTAGACGCTCACGACGACCTGCGGCCCTGCGGGGGGGAGCGGCGCCGTGAGCGGGA